TCAAAGGGCCTTCCCCCGGCCCGCCAGCCAGTGGCAATGGCAGGGCTCCTCAGCCACAGTCTCCACAACTCTCAGTAGCCAAGATTACTTGGACATACGGACAAGTGGGAATCAACAACAGTGACTCCCAGCAATATCCCCAAAATCACTTATGCAATCCATTAATTCTGAGTATCAAAGAGAAGGGTCCAAGTATCATCACCTCCCCAGCCACAAAGACCTCTGAGAAGTTTAAAGGACAGGACTAACATCAGCACATAGAACAGTCATCAATGTCATAGAATCACAGAATCCTAGACTGGCCTAGGCTGGAAGGGACCTTAGAGATCACTTAATCCAACCTCCCTGTCACGGGCAGGGACGCCTCTCAACTAGATCAGGCTACTCAAGGCTCCGTCCAACCTGGCCTTGAACACCTCCAGGGAGGGGGCAGCCACAACATCTCTGGGCAATTTATTCCAAAGTCTTGCTGCCCTCGTACTGAAGAATTTCTTCCTAAGGTCCAATCTAAATCTATTCTGCTTCAACTTAAACCCATTTCCCCTTGTCCTATCGCTGGACACTCTTGTAAAAATTCCCTCCCCAGCCTTCCTGTAGGTTCCCTTCAGGTACTGGAAGGCAGCTGTTAGGTCCCCCCGAAGTCTTCTCTTTTCCAGACTGAACAACCCCAGCTCCTGAGGCCTGTCCTCGTAGCAGAGCTGCTCCAGCCCCTGGATCATCTTTGTGGCCTCCTCTGAACACGTTCCAACAGATCCACATCCCTCTTATGGTGGGGGCACCAGAACTGGACGCAGGATTCGAGGTGGGGTCTCACAATGTCAGGGGCAACAGCATCAGCACAGCCCAGGGGTGGGAACAGGCTCAGAGTTAACGAGATCAGCATCTCCAGCACAGGACAACCCAAGAAGGTCAGCCAGCAGGCTCCGGGGAGGCTCCTTGAGGACCCCCCTGCAAGAGCACCGGAGGACAGCAGGGCCACAGCACGTGTTTTGGAGCCACACATGCCTGCCCCCTCCGGGCACGGCTCCCTCACAGGCTGCAGGAGCAGGGCAGGCGGGTGCTTTGCCCCAACACTCTGGGTTTCATCTTGCCAGGTGGAACAAGAGCCACTGGGGCTCAGGTCACCCCCTTCTCAGCAAAGCAGAAGGGCGGGAAAGGGAATCCCAGACCTGCACCAGAGCTAAGGAAGAAGTCATTGTTGAAGTCATGCTCGGAGTTCACGGTTTAAGCCCTGGGGGAGCGCAGCCCGGCCTGAGGTCCCCA